CCATGAATCCATTCTTCTATCTATCCAACCATCATTCTGTCAATCTATCAATCCCTCTGTCTATCTCTCTATCTATAATCCATCCACCTATAAATCCAACTATCCTTCTATCCATTCATCTATCCATCCATTATCCATCTATCCATTCATTAATCTGTTCATCTATCAATCCATTAATCTACCCATCTATTCATCTAATGATCCATCTATCCATACATTTATCCATCCTTCCATCCATCCATCTATTTATCCCTCCATTTCTTAATCGACCCATCTATCTATTCATCTACCCAACCACCATTTTATCCATCCATCCATCAATCCATCTGTCTATCCATCCATCCATCTATCTATATAACTATCCTTCCATCTATATATCCATCAATCCATCCATCTATCTGTCCATCAGTATATTCATCTATCTATCCATCAATCTATTCATCCATCCACCCACCAATCCATTCCTCTATATATCTATTCATCCATCTATTGATCCATCTATCTATCCATCTCTCTCTATGCATCCATCTATTTATCAATCCATCCATCTGTCTATATATCCATCCATCTATAAATCCACCTGTCTGTCCCTGTATTTATCCATATATCCATCTATCTATCATCCATCTAACCATCTTTCCATCTAGCCATCCATCATTCCATCCATTCATCAGTCTATCAATCCATCTACATATTCATCAATCATCCATCTTCATATCTATCTATCTATCCATCCACCCATCCATCCATTTGTCTATTTATCCTTCTATCCATCCACCCATCAATCCATCTGCCTATCCATCCATCCATATCTCTATTCATCCATTCATCCATCTATCCATCCATCCACCTATTCATCCATCCTTGTATGAATACATCTGTCTGTCCCTCCAGCCATCCATACACCCATGTATCTATCCATCCATTATAACCATATATCCATCCAGCCATCCTTCATTCCATCCTTCCATCCATCCATCTATATATCCATCAATTCACCCATCTATTTATCCATCCATCTTTATCTCTATCTATCTATCCATTAATCCATTTGTCTATCGATCCTTCTATCCATCCACCCATCAATACATCTGTCTCTCCATCCACTCATCTATCCATTCATCCATCTAACCATCCATCCACCTATCCATCCATCCTTCTATGAATCCATTTGTCTATCCTTGATTCACCCATCTTTTCATCTATTGAATCATCCTTCTATCATCCATCATTCCATCTATCTACCCATCAATCCATTTTTCTATCCATTCATCCATCTATCCAACAACCTGTCCATCTATCCTTCCATCTATCCTTCCATCCATCCATCCATCCATCCATCCATCCATCCATCTGTATATCCATCAATCCATCCATCTATTTACCCATCTCTATCCATGTATCTATTTATCTATTAATCTGTCTGTATATCCATTCATCCATCCATCTTTCCATCCATCCATGCAACCATCTATCCATCCATCCATTCTACCATCTATGCATCTATCCATCCACCAATCCATTCTTCTACCTACCCATCAATCCATCCATCCCTCCAACCATCTACCTATCTATCCATACACCCATCCATCAATCTATTCTTCTATCTATTCATTCATCCATCTATCCATTCGTCAATCCATCTGTATATCCATTTATCCATCCATCTTTCCCATGCTTATCAACCCATCTGTGTATCTTTTCATCTGTTCATCTGTCTATCCATCTATCTAACCAGTTATCCATTCACCCATCATTCCATCCATTCATCCATCTATTCCTGTATCCATCTATCCATCCATTCCTCTATGTATCCATCCATCCACCCAACTATCCATCTATCATTATACCCATCTATTTATCCATCTATCCATCAATCTATCCTTCTACCTATCTATCCCTCCATCCCTCCATCCTTCCATCCATCCATTCAACCATCTACCTGTCCATCTATCTATCCATCCATCCATTTATCTATCCATTTCTCCTTCCATCTATTAATCTATTCTTCTATCTTTGCATTCTTCCATCTCTCCATCCATACATCCATTCATCTACCCATCCATCCTCTATCAACCCATCTGTCTATCCATCCAACCAATTATCCATCCATCAATCAATCCATCTATCCATGCATCCATCTATCCATCAATTCATTTTTGTACTTATCCATCCATCAATCTCTCTATCCATGCATGTATCCATTCATGTATCTATCTATCCATCCATAATCATCCATCTATCTATCCATCCATCCATCTGTCCACCCATCCATCCATCAATCCATTAATCTATTTACCCACCTATCCATTGATCCATCTATCCATGTATCCTTCAGTCTGTCTATCCATCCATCCATCTCTCTATTCATCCATCTATCTATCCATCCATTTCTCCTTCCATCTATCAATCTATTCTTCTATCTCTGCATTCATCCATCAATTCAACTGTCTATCCATCCATATCTCCATCCATCCATCCTCTGTCAACCTATCTGTCTATCCATCCAACCAATTATCCATCCATCAATCCATCTGTCTATTCATGCATCACCTATCCATCTATCCTTCAACTCATTTATGTATTTATCTATCTATCTATTGATCTATCTATGTATCTATCCATCCATTCATCCATCTCCCCATCCGTCCATATGTCCATCCATCTATCAATCCATTAATCTGTTTATCCATCCATATATGGATCTATCTATCCATGCCTCCTTCAGTCTGTCTATCTATCCATCCATTCATCTCTCTATTCATCCATCTATCTATCAAACCTTCCATCTAACCATCTATTCATCCATCATTTTATGCATCCATTCATCAATCTATCTGACTATTTATATATCCATCCATCCATCTATCCATCTATCATTTTACCCATCCATTGATCCATTAATCTATCCATCCATCCAACCCTCAATACATCTGTTTATCCATATATTCATCCTTCCATCTTTCCATCCATTCATCCATCCCTCCCTTCATCTATCTATGCATTCATCCATTAATCTTGATCCTTGTATTCATCCAATTTTGATCTATCCATCCATCCATCCATCTATAAATAAATCCATCCATCCATCCATCCATCCATCCATCCATCTAATCATTCATCTATCTATCCATTCGTTCATCCATCAACCCATTCATCTCTCTATCCATTCATCCATCTATCCATCCATCTCCATTTATCTATCCATCCTTCCATCTGTCCATCTATCCATCCATCCATCCATTCATCCATCTACTATCCATCTATCCATCTTTCTGTCCATCCATTTATTTTTATCCATCCATCAATCATTTATTTTCTATTGATCAATCCATTTGTCTATCCATCCATCTCTCTGTCTATCCGTGTATCTACCCATCCACCCAACCATCCATTTATCCATCTATCTATCCATCCATTCATCTATCAATATTCTATTATCCCTCTCTCTGTCTCTGTTCATCCTTTTATCTGTCCTTCCATCTATGAATACACCCATCCATCAATCCATCCATCTATTTATCCATCCGTCTATACATCCATCTATGTATCCATTCATCTATCCATCCATCCATGCATCCTTCCTTCCATCCATCCACCCATTCACGTATCCATCCATCAATCCATACCTATCCATGTATCTGTCCATCCATTTATCCATCCTTCCATGTATCCATCCATTCATCTCTATCTACTCATCCATCCATCCATCCATCCGTCTATCCACTCACCTATCCTCCATCCAGCCACCATGTCATCTTCTGTTCACTTGTCCTCATTGTCCCCTCCATCTCTCTCCGTCCCACTCCCCCAATACTTTTGTGTTCCTGATCTTTGATGCTGCGCATATGGGCACATGAAAGTCTCTAGTGTCTACTGGAAGCCAGCAAATAAGGAATTACATTTCTGTTTGACAGGTGCTGTGGTGGGTTTGGTAAGTGGTACCTTGGGGAAGCATTAAAGAGTGTGGATTAGCCAGGCAAGGTAGCCCAAGCCATTGGACTGTAAGACCAATGGCTCTGGAGGCTGAGGCAGGAGGATTGCAAGGTGGAGGCCAGCCTCAGCAACTCAGTGAGACCCTGTCTCTAAATTAAACAGAAGAAGGGCTGGGGACGGGGCTCAGGGGTTGAGTGCTTGCCTGGCCTGCACAAGGACCTGCAAGATCCCCAGCACCGCAGCAAACAAAACTAATTAAAAAGAAATTGAGTCATTTCTATATGACAGATGTGTAATTAAATGCTATATTTATTTCTGCCTAAAATTGATATGCATAAAAGAAACAGAAAACTAGTGAAGAGGAGAACAGAGTGAGAGAACTACAATATGGTGAAAACTGGATTTCCAAGTCTGAGTTCTCTCTTTCTTCCTGGTATTGATTGTCTGGAATCTTTCACACATACATATATGATATGATGTTTCTTCTTTCTTTTCTTTTTGCTTTCCTTCTCCTCCACCTCCTTCTTCAATACTGGGAATTGAACCCAAGAGTGTCCTACACTGAGCTACACGTCAGACCTTTTAATTTTTATTTTGAGACAGGGTCTCATAAATTGCTGAGGTTGGCCTCGAATTTGTGATCCTCCTGCTTCAGCCTCCAGAATGGCTGGTATCACAGAGACCCTGTCTCTTAATAAAATATAAAAAGGGCTGGGGACGGGGCTCCATGGTGAAGCACCCCGGTTCAATCCCCTGTACCCTTTCCCCCCAGATGTGAGCACAGGACCCTAACACCCTCACCACAAGATTAACAGATGCAGTTGAGAATACGATACACCCAGGAACAATGTGCCACTAGGCTGGTATGGATGGTCTGGAGGCACACTGTCTTTGCAGAGATGTGCCACTGATTTGCTGCATCAGCCTCTCCCCAGGCCGGGATTGGGTGGCCCTGCACCCCCCTGAGCCCGGAGCTAGGCTGTTCGCTTCTCGCGTGGCCACGCGGGGGCGCAATAGAGCCGCCTCCTAACCGCGTTCTCCTCCCTTTGATTTCACATCCCAAGAGAAAGATCAGGAGGTGAAGAGGAGAAGCCTGAAGAAGGGAAAGAAGCAGCACTCGGAAGAGGAGTTCGACCCGAGCCAGTGGAGGCAGAGCGTCTTCTCCCTGCAGCTGGCCATCATGCCTCTGCTAGCTGGTAGCTACACCTGTTCCCAACAGTCTCTGGTCCTCCTGTCACCACATGGGACTGAAATGGTCCACACAGCCGGCCTAGCCCCTGCTCTGTACCACTTCATTTCATTCCCACTGCCCCCTCCGGAAAGCAAGGTTAATAGCCTCCACTGTATGCAGGAGGACAATGGAGGCCCAGAGAGGTTAAGTGTGCCGCCCAAGACACACAGCATAGCAAGTGGGACATCAGGATTTGAACTCAGGTCTGTTTGATTCCGTCCCCCATCACTTTTCATTATATATGTAGAGACAGGGTCTCGCTGAGTTGCTTAGGGCTTCATTAAGCGGCGTTGCTGAGGCTGGCCTCCAACTTGTGATCCTCCTGCCTCAGCCTCCCAAGCCGCTGGGATGACAGGCCCTTCTTTTTTCCCTTTGGTAGTACTGGGGGCTGAGCTCAGAGCCTCATGCACCCCAGGCAAGCCCTCTGCCACTAAGCTACATTCCCAGACCCCCCACCCACTTTCTGCTTTTTAAAGAAAGTCATTTCAGGTGGGTGGGTGGTGCACACCTGTAATCCCAGCTACTGGGAGGCTGAGGCAGGAGGATTGTAAATTGAAGTCCAGCCTTGGAAATTTAGCAAGACCCTGAGTCGGAATGAAAAAAATAAATCAGAGGCGGTAGAACGACCTTGGGTTCAATTCCCAGTTGGACAAAGAACAGAATAAAACAGTTTTTTTTTGTTGCTTTGGACCTGCAGGGGCAGGCGCGCCCTCTGCTGGCTGTTTTGCAGAAGTGCAGTTTTTAAATGCTTTTGAGTGACACGTGAATGGAATAGAATTTTTCTTTCCCCTCTCCCTCCCCTTTTTCCCCTTCCTCTACTCTGCTGGTCTTCCTTCTATTTGTTTTTAGTTTTTTTCATTTTAATTTTTTTTAAAAAATATAGCTATAAAGGTGGCATTCGCTGTGGTACATTCATATATGTACACACCATAATTTTGTCTTTTTTGGGGGGGGGTACCAGGGATTGAACCCAGGGGTGCCCAATCCCTGATCCCCATCTCCAACCTTTTTATCTTTTTATTTAGAGACAGGGTCTCGCTGAGTGGCTTAAGGCCTCAATGTGGCTGAGGCTGGCCTCCACCTTGCGATCCTCCTGTCTCAGCCTCCCAAGCCGGTGGGATGACAGGTGTGTGCCGTCGTGCCTGGACCATTTAATTTACTTTTTGCTACCACAGTGTATCTCCAACTGGTGAAACTAATGGACTGTATTTTATAGGAAAAGACTACATGTTTGCTTTGCAATGAATAATTCACCCACCCACTTTTTTTGTTTTAAATATAGAACTTGCAAAACTGTCACAGGGAGAGTTATTCCTCTTTGGGATTTGGCCCAGATATGCCAGTCTCGCTTGGCATGAGTACCTAGACTTGTCTCGTTAAGCCATGGCAAAGTGACACCCACCCCTGAGTGCTCAGTGTACACACTGACATGTTTGGACCAAGATGATTCTTTGCTCTAAAATAATTAACCTGGAGCAGTTCTATCCAATAGCACCATCTGCAGCAATGACCAGGCCCCATGTCTGTCCTGACCCAATGGCCTGTGGTCACACAGGGCCATTGAGCACTTGGGATGTAGTTAGCCTGGTAACAAAACTGCATTTTTCAAAAAATATTTATTTTTTAGTTTTAGGTGAACACAATATCTTTATTTATTTATTTTTGTTGGTATGTGGTGCTGAGGATCGAACCCAGGGCCTCACGCATGCTAGGCGAGCGCGCTACCACTTGAGCCACATCCCCAGCCCCAAACTGCACTTTAAATGCTAGTGAACTTTAATCAGTGCAAATTCTAGAAGCCACACATGCCTCGTAGGTACCATCGTTGATGGCAAAGGGTCTAGGATGGTGAGTGTAGAATCTGACAATTTTGAAACTTCCAAGGTGGAGACCACACTCCCCAGACCAACTAGATCAGACTGGGGTTGATTGGCACCTGTGTATCAGTATTCCTCACTGTATCCTGGATGACTTAAGATATATTTGTATCAGATTCAGGGACAAAATATTCAATTCTTAGCCAGCCAGGTGCGGTGGCCCACGCCTGTCATCCCAGTGGCTTGGGAGGCTGAGGCAGGAGGATCGCAAGGTGGAGGCCAGCCTCCGCCAAATTGAGGCCCCGAGCAACTCAGCGAGACCCTGTCTCTAAATAAAATATAAAAAGAGCTGGGGACAGGGCTCAGGGGTGAAGCACCCCTTGGTTCAATCTCTGGTACAAAAAAAGAAAAAACAAAATTCAATTTTCTTAGAGACTCAATAGGACTTTAGTTTGAGGAACTGACATATAACCTGCTGCTTGTGGGTGATTCCTGATTCTTCTTTTTTTTTAAAATAAATTTCATTTTTTGGTATGATTTTGTCCTTAGCCCTTCTCTGGTTGCTTGATCCCTCTGTGCCTGTCTGGGGTGGTCTAAGCCACTGTGTGTATTTCACCCCAGGACAGCAAACTGTCATGAGCCGGGGCAGTGAGAAGTCGGCCAACATTTTGGATTGCCTTTTGACTTTCAAAACCGAAGTGCCTATCATGACTGAGGCGCAGAAGCTGGAATTAAACCCCCTGATCATAAGGATCGACTGTGTTTCCTGCCTGCCGTCACAACCTGTGCCTATTCAGGAACTACAGGTAAGAACGGGCCACACCTGTCATCCCGGCAGCTCAGGAGGCTGAGGCAGGAGGATGGAAAGGTGGAGGCCAGCCTCGGCCACTTAGTGAGGCTCTAAGCAGCTCAGGGAGACCCTGTCTCTAAATAAAATACAAATAGGGCTGGGGACAGGGCTCAGAGGTCGGTCGAGTGCCCCTGAGTTCAATGCCCAGATGGGCCCCTAACTAGGAGCCTCCAAATCTGAGGCCTCTCACTACGTCACAGGTGCTGTACAGATGGAGGTCTCCAGCCTCTCTTCAGGAACCCATGGGGGTGGAGCTGGAGGCTGTCATGCTAAGTGAGATCAGTCAATCCCGAAGATCCCGAGGCTGGACGTTCTCTCTGATATGAGGATGCTGATTCACAATGGGCGGGTAGAGGGAAGAATAGGGGGTACACTGGATTAGACAGAGGGGAGTGAAGGGAGGGGACAGGGTCAGGGGGTGGGAAGGAAGGTGGATGCTATCACCCTTCTGTGCGTATATGATACATGACCGGTGTGGTCCTACCTCATGCACAACCAGAAGAATGAGAAGTTAGGCTCCATTTACGTAGGATGCATCCAAACGCATTCTACTGTCATGTGTAATTAATTAGAACAAATAAAAAAAATAACTGGGATTAAAAAAAGAGGAACCCATGGATTTTCCTGTTACAGCAGCAGCACCTCGCTGCATACTTACCCTCTTCCCTCTGCTGTTTGGATCTTCTTGTCTTTCGGACTCCACGTCTTCCTCTTCATTTGTTTGTCCTTTGGTTTTGCTGGAGCACATCCTTCAGTAACCTCTTGAGAAAAGATCAATGGAATACCCCCCGACCCACTGCGGGTTATTCTATCCTTCTATTTGGTGTAGACAGTTTGGGTATAGAATTCTAGTTTTCCTTCAGAGTTTTGAAGGCAATCATTCCATCACTTTTTTTTAATGTTCTGTGTTGGACCTTGGTATATGTCCCATTTTTTACCTCCCTTAAAGCTTGTAGGATCTTCGTCTTGTGCACCTCAGAATATGACCTTATTTGGACAGAGGGTGATCACAGAGGCCTGCTCCCTGCCTGGCCTTCAGTGACATCACGGTAGTCACAGGGAGCTACGTTGCCCGTGGATGCTGATCCAAGTCCTGGCTCCCAGCCAGGGGAGTGGCCAGGGCACTCCGTTAGAGTTGGGGGAGGTGGACGTCCGGGTGGACGTCCCCCTCGGCCTTTGCAGACGGTGGTGGGCTGCGTTTTCTCTGAGGTGTTTGTCTGGGGTAGGGTCATCATTTTCCTGACAGTTTTCTGTCCTGCTAGGCCACCCCTTTCTTGGTCCTTTGGCTGGAGACAGCAGACTTTTCTTGGGGGTGCTTCCTGCCTCCAGAAACAGTCAGCCAGGGGACTCGGGAGCTCTTTCAGTGCTGGGCAGTTGTCTTGTATTATCTCACTGATTATTTCTTTTTTTTCCCCCCGCGTCTTTTTGGAGCTCCTGTTATTTAGATGCTGAACGTCCTGGACTATTTTTATGGATGTAATGCCTTGTTTTTCTCTGGCCACTTTTTAATTTTTTAGTTTATTTTTGATTTGTTTAAATTAGTTGCACATGGCAGGCGAATGCATATATGCACTTTGTTAGATCATACGTAGGTGGGATATGATTTCTCATTTTCTGAGTGTGCATGTTGCAGAATCATATTGTGCATTGTCACATGGATACATACAGGAATAAGGTCTGTTTCATTCTACCATCTTTCCTATCCCCACACCCCCTCCCCTCCCATCACTTCCCTCTACTGAATCTAAGGTGACACTGTTCTTCTGCAGGGGCCCCCAACCTTTGTGAATCAGCATCCACATACTAGAGAAAACATTCGGCCTTTGGTTTTGTGGGATTGGCTTATTTCGCTTAGCATGATAGTCTCCAACTCCAACCATTTACGGCAAATGCCATGATTTTACTCTTCTTCCAAGCAGTGTAATATTCCATCGAGTATACATACCACATTTTCTTTATCCATAGGGACACCTAGGTTGGTTCCATAGTCTAGCTATTGTGAATTGAGCTGCTCTAGTGGCTGTGTCACTACAGTATGCTGATTTTAAGTCCTCTGGGTATAAACCAAGGAGTGGGAGAGCTGTATTTTTTCTATTTGTTCTAATCAGTTACACATGACAGCAGAATGCAAACATTCTGACAAATGGAGTCTGACTTGCCATTCACCTGGTTGGACACGATGTAGGTGAGGTCCTGTGATCCTGTATGCACATGGGAAATGATGGTCTGGCTGGTTTTAATATGTGTCATCTCTGTTTTTAATCTGTCCCATAAGGACGTGTCTGGGCCTGTATTTCTGAGTTCATCTGATTGGGATTTACCGAGATTCTAGAACCTACAAGTGAATGTCCTTTGACAAATTCAGGAGATTTTCAGACACTATTTTTTTTATTTTTTATTTTTATTTTTTGTAGCTGTGGATGGACAGATGCCTTTATTTTCTTTATTTATTTCTCTGTGGTGCTGAGGATGGAACCCAGGGCCTCCCACGTGCCGGGCAAGCGCTCTGCCACTGAGCCCCAGCCCAGCCCCAGTCATTATTTCCTATTTTTTTTTCTATGTTCTACCTTCTTACCTGATGGCGCTTTTGTGGACACTGGGCCTCAGAGTCCTGGAGAGTGGGGTTACCCGTGGACACTTTGTAGCAGGGCAAACTGAGGTCCCCAGGCTGCAGGCTTGGCCCTGGGGTGTGAGGGTCCCAGGTGGGCGCTCCGTTCTTGGTGGCAGAGGAACAGTCACCGGTGAGCGGCTGTGGGCCTCCTTCCTGGTGGCAGAGGGACAGCCGTGGTGAGTGGCCGTGGGCCTGTTCTGTTGCAGAGGCTGTGCACCCCCGTCTACTGCAGGTACCGCTTCCACAAGACCCCGGTGCACAGGACGGAGGAGCGGCCCCACGGGACCCACGTTTACTTTGAGGACATCAATGTCATCTGCCTGGGAGCCATACACCCCAGTGACCTGCGGGAGTACCTGGAGGGTCCCCCCATGGTGGTGGAAGTCCACGATCGGGACCGTCAGCCGGACGAGGCCTCCCGCAGGCCCACCCTGTTTGGGGAGGACCCCCTGGATCCCCACGGGAACATCCAGTCCTTCATCTCCTCCAAGGAGACGGAGGACAGCCCCTTCGAGTCCCAGGACAAGACCTGGGACCCTCACGGAGTGGCCCGGGTCAGTTTTGCGGACCTGCTCCTTGGCCACAAGTACCTGAAGCTGGTGGTCCCCATCCAGCGCTGTGAGCCCAAGGTCAGCCGAGGCAGGAGGGTCTCCAGGTTCCAGACCCCGGCCACCGAGGTCCTCCAGCACAGCCCGATGCCCGCTGGACACTACTTGGAGGCCAACTCTTTGCTCAAACTGCGAGTGGACGTGGCGGTGCCTCTGAGCACCTGGGCCAAAGCCCAGGGCGCGGACCTCCTGGACAGCCACTTTGGCCGCATTGTGTTCGTGTTCGGTGCCCAGGACCTGTTCCTGCTGCACGGTCTGCTGAAGGACGTCACCCTGATCAATGCCAAGGCCCTGGAGCTGGACTCCTACCCGACCAGGACCGTCCAGCAGATCCTCTCGGCCTTCAAGATGCGCGTCGACATCCAGCATCAGGAGCATCTGGACGTGCTGACGGGCTTCCACCTGCTGGATGGGAACCTCCACCTCTTTGTTCTGGAAGGCCTGGCCGATGGGGGCCTGCGGCAGCTGTGGGAGAGCCACCAGAGCCGGTAGGTGGCGTCCGAATGAGGAAGGAGCCCCAGCAAGGCCCAGGGAGGCCGAGGGCGGAGGATGGCAGATTGGAGACCAGCCTCAACCCCTTAGCGAGATGCTGTCTCCGAATCAAATACGAAGGGTTTTGTTTGGTGGTTCAATCCTCAGGAACAATGAATAAATAATCCAGTTACATGATTCTGACCCCATGATCTGCTGCCCCCTGGGGCAGGAGCCGGGCCTGTTTACACCGTCGCTGGAGTGACCTCTGAGTACCTGATTGGCTGAGCAGGGTGAAATGACCCTCGTGCGGGGATCAGCTTCCTAGGTGGCCCGGTGGGAACAGGGGACCCTGGCTCTCTCTTCTGATAGCACAGTCTTTCAAACAAGTTGACCCTTTTACCCCCTTGAGCCTACAATGAGGGTATCGTATTTTAAATTTCAGTTGCCAGGTGTCTATTGCTGGTAATGTGGAAATATGATTAATTTGTGTGTATCTTGTACCCTGACTTGATAATTATTTATTATTATTGCTATAATAATAATTAATATAGCAATAATAAATATTATTAATAATTTTTAATAATAATTAATAATAATTATTAACAATAATAATTATTAATCCCTAGGGATTGAACCTAGGGATGCTCCACCCGTGAGCCCCGTCCCCAGCCCCTTTTTCTATTTTATTTAGAGACAGGGTCTCGCTGAGTTGCTCAGGGCCTCACTAAGTGGCTGAGGCTGGCCTCCACTTTGCGATCCTCCTGTCTTGGCTTCCAGTGTCTACCGCCCCAAATCACTGAGATTATAGATGAGGGCAACAGCTGGCCACAGTATCCTTGGGTTTGATCCCCAGTACTAAAAAAAAAAAAAGTAAGAAAAGTGAGAAAAAAAGTTATTTACAATGGGTGGAACATAGTAGTAGCCTGAAAATATAAAGAGTTCTGTGAATCAATAAGAATGATCGAAACATCCCAGAAGAATGGGTGGAAGAATGATTCTAACAAGTTCTTCACAGAACAAGCTCCTACCAATGACCTCACCTATGGGCCCTGGACTGGGTGGGATACAGGGTAGGCGTAAATGTTACCAGGTTCAGCATGCTGGGCGTGGTGGGGTGTGCCTCTCATCCCAGTGGCTCAGGAGGCTGAGGCAGGAGGATCGCAAGTTGGAGGCCGGCCTCAGCAAATTAGCCAGGCCCTCAGCCACTCAGTGAGACCCT